GTTTAGGGGTAGGGTTGGTGTAGGGCAATAGAATATACGGTCTGTACAGTATAAAAACCATTACGCCTATGGGATGTCCCCACTTTTCACAAAAACAAACCTGTGTGTGTGTGTGTGTGTGTGTGTGTGAGACCTAAGAGGAAAAGAAACATATTAAGGTGTAAGAACAGAGTCGTAAGCCTGGAGCATCTGAAGAGCAGAGCTATGACTACAACTAAAACTAAGATGGAAAATGTTGCTTTAAAAAATTATAAAATATAAAAAATGCAAAGTAAACAAAAACCTAACACTCATTGAAACAAAAACCATTTGAAATGAAATACATGATGACAATCGTCTAAAATCAGAAAACTATCCCATTCATCTCAATGGTAGTTGCTCGACTGGTGCAATATTTGCTCTCAAGCCAATCACCTGAGCTGTAAATGTCATGTGTCTAAACTTTTAGTCACACTCTGATGTTTTTCTTTTGCTTTTGCTCTTTACAGATGTCCACACACACACACACACACACACTTCGCAAACATCTTAACGCACAATTCCCATCTGACACTAAAAGAGTCCACAATGACAGAACACATGTGACACTTCTGTAACAGACACCATGCACATCACGCCTCATCGCTGTCGTGTGTGTGTGTGTGTGTGGGCAGCACTGCACTGATGCAGCATATAAAGTAGCACGGCAAAACAAGTCATATTTTAGCTATGAGTTTGCAGTTTAAATGGAATGTTAACATCACTACTGTGATAAAATACACAAACAATAGACTACTATTACATGCCTTTTCAGCATACATGGAAAACGAACAGTCCAATTCATAAACAAATGACTCTTTAAAAAAGTTCATAAGAATCGGATCACAAAAAACTCAAAAGTTGAATCAGTCTAATCAATTTCTTGCTGAATCCACTTCACAAAAAAATGACTCTTATGATCTGATTCCTGTAATGAATTGGTTAAAAAGAATCACAAGTTGATTCAGTATAATTAATTACTTGCTTAATACAATTTACAAAGTAATGACTCTTATGATCCAATTCCTATAACAAATTGGTCAAAAAGAATCATAAATATCAAGTTTGAATCAGCTAATGAATTACTTGCTGAATCCAATTCACAATTCAGTGAATTGAATTTTATGATCCGTTTTCTGTAATGAATTGGTCAGAGAGACACAAGTTGAATCAGTCAAACAAATGACTCTTGTGATTTGAATCCTGTAATAAATTGGTCAAAGAGTCTCACAAATTGAAACAGTCTAATGAATTAGTCACTGAATCCAATTCACAAACCAAAGACTGATTTTTGTAATGAATCATTCAAAAAGACAAGTTAAAACAGTCCAATGAATTGCTGAATGCAATTCACAAACAAATGACTCTTTTGATCAGATTCCTGTAATGAATTGGTAAAAAAGAATGACTCTTATGATCTAATCATTGCAATGAATTGACAAAAAGAGTCAAGAGTCAAGTCAAGAGGCATTTATTTATCATTTGCATAGTTAACACTGGGGAAAACTGGGCATTGAAATGCTTGTGACGAGGCTCAGACATACAGTGACAATAACAGGACCATACAAAAAAACATACAAAAGACTGACATGTTGAATTAGTCTAATGAATTAGTCACTGAATCCAATTCACAAACAAAAGACTCTTATGATGTGATTCTTGTAATGAATTGGTCAAAATGACTCACAAAATTCAGCTGAATGAGTCTGAATCCACTTAATGACTCACATCTGGATGTTGACAATGTAAATTAATCACTCACCCTCAGTGTGGATTGCAGATACGTAGGTCCAGTTGTATCTCTTCACTATGTCCACCATGGCTCTGGCCTGCTGGGCATCCGACGGCACGACCCTCATGAAGTATTTGAAGAGTGATTTGTCGCTGAGGTCCATACTGGTGGCGGAGTATGCGATCTGCGGGATATTAAACAGCTGCAGTAAATTCTGCACTTGAATGGCCACGGAACTCGAACCCGGACCGATCAGCCCTACGATTGGCTTCTTGCCCTTCATGGCCGTGGCTCCCGGATCCGCGCACCTGGTCCCGCCCCCAGCCTCCTCGCTTTCGTCGGCGGCGACCAGCGAGTCCCGTATGAACTCGATGCTTTGCTCCAGAGCGACGGAGGAATGCCAGCAGGAGTCTCGGATCTCGCAGCCCAGCGTGATGTTGGAGAGGATTTTGGGGTCGGCGTTGATTCGGTCCAGCGTGTGCATCATGGCCTCCACGCGCTGGATGCCGTACTGCTCTCGAACTGCCCCGCATTTGCGCTCGTGCACTTTGTCGGCCGGCGGCTGGTGGTGGACGGAAAAGAGGGCGCCGATGATGATGTCACCGGGAATGTGGGCCACGACGCGCCGCTCGTTGGACTGGGCCACCGTCGCCAGGGACGCCAGTCGCCATAGCAACACTGTGAAGAGATACAGGCTGACCATATCGGAGTAAATTAGAGGGCGTGTCTTTGCTCCTGTTCGGGCCAAAGACGCGATCACAGTGAAGAAGTTCAGTCCAGTTGCTTCGCTCCTTCTCTGAACTTGCTATTTCTGACTGCACAAAAAGGGGAATCTGGAATCATGCGGCTTTGAACTGTGCTGTCATTTGTCCGAAAGCTTCTATGACGACCCTGAGAAGGATGCTGGGTCGTTGCCGTGGCAACCTGGAGCTGGGTACGGCATGAGATGAGGGGCCTCATAACCTTGAATGAGAGGAGATGGACACAGCAATGTTATTATATACACACAGACAGACATGAGAAATGTACAATGAAAAAAGATTTTTAAAAGTTGTAAATCAGATTAAGATTATTATAGCACATTTTACAAGAAAATACTATTCCAGTCTTTCTGCTTCAAAATTTCACACTTAATTGAATATATTTGCAGTTTTTTAAATTAGAAAATAAATTAAATTAATTTAATTTTTTTATTATTTGTAAAATTTACTAGCAATTTCTGAGTGAAAATTGTTTCTACACTATTGTTTAATGACATCATTCTACAGGGAAGCTGTTTTTAAAACATAAAAGTGTTATAAAATTAGTGTAGGATTTACTTTTACTCAGAAATTTTGTAGTAGAAAGACTGAACATTTTCTTGTAAATCATACTTTAATCATTTTTGTTTTATTTACAACTCAATTTACAACTTTATTTACAAATCATCTTTGTAATTTACTAGCAATTTCTGGGTAAAAGTAAATCTTACACCAATTTCTATCACACTTCTATGTTTTAAACAGCTTTCCTGTAGAATCATCAAATATTTGAAAATTGTTTCTACACCAACTCCCATCAGCTTAAATTAAGTTTAGTCTCGTATAAACTTTAAAATAAAGTTGAAATTAGTTAAATTACTTTAATGAGTTGAAATAATGGAACTTTCAGAATACATGTAAAGTTCCATTTCCAAACTAAAATTCCAGTATACCTCTGTAAACAAATGAACTAGGGCTATCAAATAGATTAATCGTGATAAATCGCATCAAAAATAAAAGTTTGTGCTTACATAATATATGTGTGTGTACTGTGTATATGTAAATGTAAATATAAACACACACACATACATACGTATATTTAAGAAGTATATGCAATACATATTTATATTTATATATAATATAAATCACAAATAAATATAAATATGTAAATATTTCTTAAATATACATATGTATGTGTGTATTTATACATAAATATACACACATATATTATGTAAACACAAACTTTTATTTTAGATGCGATTAATTGCAATTAATTGATTTGACAGCCCTAGAATGAACACTATAAAACCATTCTGGAATATAATGAAGGTAAAAATCTCTGATGTAGAGGTTTCAGTGTGCCATGATGTTTTTTAAAGTGCAACGAAAAAGCCAGCATTTCTACATAGCTGAGAAAGCTTTCATGCCCTCGACATTAATAAAAAAAACACTTATTTTGGCTGTCAAGTGCAGACCAAAAATGAGGTGACAATTTTTCAGAATAAAAACAGGAGAGCATTTACAGAATGAATGGACTTGCACTGCGTGGGTTTCACAAGCAACTAATTTTAGTCTCACAGCAATAGCATCTGTATAAATAAAGACCAGCATAAATTAATTCCCTCATTCAGCTGCATTCAAGGGCCGGTTTCATCTGCCAAACCGCAGATTGGATCCTGGGTCCTTGTTAAAATGTGGGGTCCATTAGAGAGACGATGAAAAAGCTGCCTCGCTTTCGAATAAAAGATTATGGCAAGAGCTGAATGGAAGGGAAAATAACTAATGCATCACACTGAACCATCCTTCTGCCTCCGGCATAAAAGAAACAATAGGAGGGGAAACAAACTGCAATCCCACAAAAACCTCGCCAATATCAGGCATTCGCATTGAAATCATGCTGGCATTTAATGCACACTTCATTCAAATTAATGCAAATGTCAGGCTGATAGGGCAGAGAGCTCCACTCAAAGATCGAACGGGACGGATGAGAGTGAACGACCTTGCCGTTGATCACCGAGAGAACGGGAGCTTTGCGCTGTCCGCGGTGCTGAAACGCATCACACTGCAGTGGCCAAAGAACTCCATGTGCTCAAATGCATCTCATAAACAACCTCCTGTATCTCCTCAGTCTTGTTAAGACACTGCATATTTAACATTGCAAATATAACATTCTTACTAAGTCATACATGCAATTCTTATGAAATTGCACATGATGCATTCCCAGTAAGTCATACTGGTACCCATGCAACCGATATGCTCGCAGTCGGCGGATAATCTACAGAGAGCCAAACACAGAAAGAGAGCGCGCGTTCCTCATTCCAGAACATCATCGCTTCCACAGATCCAAACTCGCGCGCAGGTGGTCTGTGGTGATGTTCTGCTGACGGTCCTTCTTACCTGCCCCGCGACACAATCCACTAAGGTCACGTATGGCTCGTAGCCTACTTCCCACAGGTGTATCGTCGGAGATTTGGGGTCGGTAGCCCGGTAAACGGCGGGGCACCGGAGAGCCACAGCTGTAGTGTCGTCTCGTCTTCTTGGCACGCACTAACACTGCCGAAGCGTGAACCAGGCACACACATCCCAGTCCGCGACTCAACCCCTCCCACCCGTGAACCCCGAGACTGGCTGCATCCAACCAGCCGCGGCACCTGCAAGCCTGCGCTTCTCCTCCTCACGTCTAGTGCTGATTATTTACAGTGATTATTTTATCACTGAATGGTTAAACGTGAGACAAAAGACCATGGGGCCGTTTGCGAAACATGCTTTTCTGCTGTTGTGAATGAATGGATGAGGCTCTAACGCATGTAATGGGGTGCCTGCTTATGAATGACAATATTTTAAATTATTTATTTTTGTTTCGGAACCCCATCAAGGAGCAAGATCGCATATGTTTTTAAAATGTGAGGGGCCCCAAACCTATCCCTGCGGTACCCCACCTCAAACAGACACAAACCAGCAGAAGACCACCACCTTGTGGCACTTAACTATTCGGGACTGAAATATAAATTGCCTCTTTTCAAAGTCTAAGGGATTATGTTTATTTAATTCAGTGGATTTAAGACATTCACCAGTGTGAATGTATAAGGAGGTAACGTGCATGAAATGACTGAACTTGCTGCGAAATTAAAGCATAGGCTAGTTCACCCAAAAATAAACACTCTGTCGTTATTTAATCAAGGTCGTTCCAAACCTGTATGATTTTCTTTCTTCTGTGGAACATAAAACAAGATATTTTTAAAGAACGTTGGGGGTCAACCAAAGATTCTCAAAACATCTTTTATCAACCTTATTTCTAATTTAAGAGCGGACACGGCCATTTGTTTCATTGGCTTCCAGTTATTTTACCTATTCAAAAAGATCAAAAAATAAAAATAAAAAAGTACGCTATGCTGCTTGATTTTACAATTTGGTATTTGTTGTTATATTTTTAAAATTTATTATCATAACCATAAACACACTTGTTTGTAGCGCAAATAGTTTTACCGTTCAGTGCACTGTTATTCTTTACACGTTTGGAACGACATAAAGGTGAGTAAATCATAATAGAATTTAAATTTTACTGTAAACTATCCCTTTAAAATGAAAATGAGATTTTCTCATGAGCTAAGAAAAGAGAGTTAAAGAAGACCAATGGGATTCCAGTAATGTAACAGTTGAAATACAGAAGATATTATATTATTAATTTAAGAATGTATTAAAAACAAAAAAAATTAAAGAAACTTTAAATAAATATTTAGTAAACAAAAAGGAAAAAGTCAATTTATTTATTTTAATATTAATTGTATTTTAGTTATTTCTGAACGCAATTTCTTAATGTGAGAACATATATGCTATATAGTGATCACAGCAAAATTTTAAGTTACTCACCAGCAAACTTTATTTTCTGGAGTCTATTTCAAGCCAGCATGATGTTGTTAAAGCTTCTACTCGATCTGGAAGAGCGCTTCACTTCTATTAATCCACTTTTTACCATGGCAACCGTGGAATCTCAGTCTCGCGCCCTGCGGCTTTATTTTCCCGCTCATTTTCACGCCACTGTTTAAAACACAAAACGGCGCGGTTAGCCGATCGAAATCTCGTGTGTAACACCTCTCGTAGCCCAACCGTGCGTTCGCGCGGGATTAATGTGCCCGCCAACTGCGCGCGGGATTAACGACCATTAAAAGGGCAAAACCACTCCAGCAGCTTCCTGTGATGTTTACCACACAATACGGATAGCCATAAATCTCTCTAAATTTCTCATACTCACTCAATGTCGTAATTTAGGCTATACCCTCTCGTTTTCGCCCCTTTACATTACTGAGAAAAGCACGAGTTAGTTTAGACTGGTTTTGGCGCGTCAGAGCTGGTCTAGCATCGTGACCAACTACTGGTCTTTTCAACAGGACACAAAATTCAAACCAGGTAATCTTCTTAATCTCACAATTTCACCAAATATTTTTCTTAAATGTCTGACTGAGGTGGCGTTTACCACAAGATGGATTACAGCGGAAAATCTGCTTCCATATCCATATGCAAACATCTAAAAAGAATAAACAATATGCTCAACATTAAGCCCACGCTAAACCCAACCAGCTTTCAAATCTTACCCAACAAAAGCAAACACATACTGCAAGCTATATGATTATGTGAGGGCTGATATAACACATATTTCTTCATATATTTGATTGTTTTCATATATATTTTGCATGTGTATTGCGGAGCTGTCAGAAGGACTGTGGCCCAGTAACAAGGTCAAAAGTTTTACTGAAAATATTTATCTATCTATCTATCTATCTATCTATCTATCAAAAATCCCAATATAGCTCTTAGGTAAACAAATGAACACAATAAAACCACTCCGGAATACAAAGGTTTACCAATGATTTTAGCAGAAAGGTCAACTATTAATTGCATTGTCCGTAGGCCAAAACAATGGTTTGATATGCTATAATTTCATTAATTTTATGTTGTATAATTACTGTTAAATTTAACCAAAAATGCCATTAAACAGGATATGCGATTTAAAGGAATGGTTCACACAAAAATGACAATTCGCTGAAAATGTACTCACTGTCAGGTCATCCAAGATGTTGATGAGTGTGTTTCTTCATCAGATTTGTATAAATGTAGCACTGCATCAGTGTCTCAGCAATGGATCCTCTGCAAGTGAATGGGTGCCGTCAGAATGAGAGTCCAAACAGCTGATAAAAACATCACAATAATCCACAAGTAATCCACACCACTCCAGTCCATCAGTTAACATCTGGAGAAGACAAAAGCTGTGTGTTTGTAAGAAACAAATCCATCAAGGCGTTTTAACTTTACACCATTGCTTCTGGCCAAAATATGAGTCCATAATCTATATAATAACGCTTCCTCCAGTGAAAAAGTCCATTCCCTGCTGTCCTCTCACATCAAAAACCACCAACATATTTGTTTAGACTATTTTGGACTGTTTTGTTTGTAAAAGCTGCTTGATCTGTACATATTTCTCTCCTGATGCAGACCAGATGACTGTTTCACTGATAAAGCATTCCTTATTTCTTTAATGGCATGTTCCCAATGTGACAGCATACCCCGCTATTGGAGCAAGTTATCATAAAAGGTCAGAACATGCTAAATAATCTTTTTTTTTTTTTTCCAAAACAATAGATGTTCAATGGAGTTTTTGTAGCAAAGACAAATATATTTTTAACCTTGTTATTTTACACATTATTTACTCAAAACAGAATATTTTAGAATTGTACACATACAATATTCTACAACAGGCCAGTATCATTACAATCAATAGTGCTAAACCACCTCCCGCTGAAATCATGTGACCCATCTAATCCCTGTTCACTTGACCGCTGGTTGTTCATCCAAATGCTCAGAGACGCAGCAACCAGCGCTGGAATGCTGCTAATAGCATTATGCTTGTTAATTATAGAATTAGCATGATTGAGACCGCAGAGTGTAGGCTTGTAATAAATTACACTCAGATGCTGGAAAGCTTCCTAAACGCTTCTTAGAAAGTACAAGAGTAATTGTTCAATGGCTTCTGGGGTCAGGTTACTATGGCAACCCCTCCCAAACGCTCTTAAAGGCGTAATGACGAGTAATCAGAGGCTCAAGTGTGTAATTGAGTCCTCATGCACATGCAGTACACACAAACACACACATTAAGTCAAGCAAACTCCAAAACAGTACAACATTCAAA